TCCTCCCTCAGAATGGAGGAGACACTGAAAGAGAAAGAAACTAGGGCCAAGTGTCAGCTAGAAAGGGCTAAGGTGATGGCTTTGGGTGGAGTAGAGTGAGGAGGTGGAAGAGCTCCGTGTTTGGCAGAAGAACCAGGGCTAAGTATGAACTTTTGTGTCATGGTTATGGATCTTATTTTGGGACTCTTTGAGGACTGTTTGAACCATTTGTTATTAAGGACTCTGAGGACTGATTGAATCTTACTAAACTAGACCTAGGTGAAGGTCACAAAAGAGATGTTGTGGCGTGCTTAAGGGGCCTGAAGAGGGAGCTAGGAGGAGCAGAGTGCCTTCAAAGTGACCCCTGGTCATGGGGGGTTGCTCAGAAAATGGCTGCCCTGTCACAATATAGGATAAGAAAATTATATTTTTATAATAAAAGAATAGTTTCAGAACATACTAAAATGAAAAAAAAAATACAAACCCAGTCACACCTTAAAAACCCATCAAAAATCATATTACCCTCTAAGCAACTAAACAACATTGCTGTTGAACTCTTGTCCTCCTGTTACCTCCCCCCTCCTGTTACCTCCCTCTCCCCCTGTTGCTTTTTGTGTCCAGAGTGGATAGATTCTGACACCCTTAGTTATGTTGAGTAGTACTTCACTGTAATAAGTAGCCCCATTGAGTTTATTGGGGATGCTGGTGGAATAAGTTGCTACTCAGTGTGAATAAGAGTGGCAGAATCTGACCTTTAGATTATAAAATCTTATGAGCAGGAACAGTGTCTTCTGTATGTTTTGTGAAGCACGTAGCAAACTGCTGAGCATGTTAAAAAACAACAGTAGTAATCTGTGCAGATAAGGTTTTTCTTATTGTTGAATGGTTGTAAGAGCTATGGTACCTTAAAATTATTTTGAGCCAATTCTAGAAGTGATAATGTCATAGATTATTGTGGTAAGCATCCATTTTCCATCATCCTGGACAGAATGTTGTACATGCCTAGCCAGATACAGATCAGCAGTCGCCTTTCTGTATTAAGGGAGGTTACATAAGAGCATCATCATCAGTAGTGATTCCTTGATGAATACATCAAGTCTATGATAAAGACGAACCAATTTATTATTATTTAGATTTGCGGTTGTCAACACAATGTCATTTGGTATTTTTACTCAGACTGTGTTCTATAGCAATGAATTCACAATTGTGACAGATAGCAATAAAACTTTATGAACATTTTTGAAGTAGTTATAAATGATGTGTGAACTATACTTATAGAAAATGTTTGTGGTAAAGCAAGTTTACGAAGTAAATCATATTTCCTTGCAGTGTCAAAATAGTTTGTAGATGTTATTCATAAAAATGTGAATTTTAGTGCAGAATTGATAAATGCTTATGAAACCAACATGTGCAATGGGTTTATAAAGACAATGTTAACTTCTGGCATGCCTAATTTTGATGACAGTTGAAATGATAAATCCAGTTGTTACTTTCAAGCGTGACTGAATTCTTTTGAAAGTTTGCCCATTTTCAGAATATTTATGTCTCTTCTTCAAGCTGCCAAACACAGAGATGACACATACTGCCCTCAATCTGTTCATTCCTCTACTCTATTTAATGAAGATTATAAACATTGGGGCATCTGACACCATAGCATGGACGCTGAATTCTCATATGACCAGATGGGACCTCCTGCATGACACAGGCCATAGAACTTCACCTAACAATCCCCCATCAAGATAAATAACCTCTGATTGAGATAAAGCTTTTATTTTAGAAGGAAAAAAATCCAGTTTTGATTTAAAGACTCCACATGATGGAAAACTTATCACAGCTTTTGGTGTCTTATTAATTACCCCCAAACACACTTCAAATTTGTATCTTATTTCCAGTTTGAACTTTGCTGACTCCAACTTCCAGCCATTAGAGCCTCTAGTATATATACCTTCTCCCTGTGTAGATAATTATAGACCATGATCATGTAATCTCTTAACCTTCTTTTTTCCTAAATTTAATCGTTGAAACTACTTTAGAGGTGTATATAAGGCATGTCTTCTAGACCACAAATCATTTTTATAACTCTTCTCTGAATCTTTTCCAATTTTTCAACATCTTCTTAAAAATGTGGACAACAGAAGTGGATGGTCTCACCAATGTCATACTCAGAGGTAATGTCACTCTTCCGATTCTTAAAGTTATGTGAATGGCCATGTATAGTACATATTGTCCTAAATGTGGTAGTAATTTTGACACAGAATAGCAATAATTGAAATTGAGTGTGCATTGACTAAGACTTTGTGCGGAACCATAGCATCCCCTCACAAGCTGCTTTCTCCTCAGGCCTCCCCAAGCCCTGTTCACTCTGCTACCCCCTCCACGTAGTTGCCCCTCCCCTCAATGTCCACTTATACCCCAGGTTCCTTTGGTGGTGGTCTGTGTCTGGATGTTACCAGAATGAGTGCATAAAGTTGAATGTTTGTTGGGGCTATGGTTGTTCAGCTAGAAGGAACCAAGGAAATGTGAACAAAACAGGACAAAATTTCAAAAGGGGAGCATTTTTATGTTTCCTCTGCAAAAGTTAACATAAACTTACACAGAAAATTCAATGATTCTTTGATAAAATACTGTGTTAAATTTAGACTCTAAATTCAGTTATTAAAGTAGAAAACAGATTTTAGTTCTGACCTTTAAATACAAATCTCAATGCACTCGTAATTGTGGTGTCACTATCGATGGCTCCAATGTTGATTTCAGATGCATGCTTGGTAGTCTGTTCCAACCAGTCCTTCTTGGATAGGGTTTAATCTAAATTGTACAGGTGTTGTGGATTTTAACTGTTGTACAGTATGTTGCATATTCCCCTTCTAGCATTTGACAGTTCTTTTCCAAGTGATGATGAGTAATCATAGCAACTAAAACAATAAAAGTATAAAAAGATTAAATATCGTCAAAGCTCTATGAGAATGAATCATCTTTTACTACCAATCAGGGGTGCTGGAACAATTTTTATAGTGGGGGTGCTGATCATGGAAATTATGTATTTGGTGTTAGTTATTACTACTTCAAGCCAGGGAGTGCAGCAGCACCCCTAGTTCCAGGACCACTGCTACCAGTTGCAGATCTTGGAATGTTTGGTATACGCTCTCCATATGAAGGAGGTGTCCACATCTGGCTAGAAAGCCTTTGCACTACCTTTTTGAATCTTTCCATAGTCATGTATACAAATGTGCATTTGACTTTTTAATCATTGAAAATCTGGAGTAGGCTCAGAGCTTGAGTCCATGTGTAGGATTTCTCCTAAATTTAGTGGGAAGTCATGTGCTTTGAGGATAGTGCAGGCATGGAAGACTCAACTAGAGACACAGAACATTTTCTAAATGGAATGTTTTTAAAGTTTTCTATTAGATGACAGCAGGTCGTTCAGCAATACAGTGGTACTGGAAAGTTCCTTCTCAGCTCAAGACTGAATTGATGTGGAATATAAATGTTGTTCATTATCCTTTAAAAGATTGTTTCTCAAGGTCACATGAAGTGTTTCACTTCACTTTAGTTTTTGTTAGATTTTTATTTTAATTCAGTATTTGTTCTGTTAGTCTTTTCCTGGGCATAAAAGTGTGGAGTTTTGAGGGCTATGCACAGTTTTGGAGCTATCCCTCTATGTTCCTGACCAGGATCTTGGACTAAACAGAGAAGAGACTGCCCCCAGAATATCCATCCCAAGTTTTACACTGTAAATGCTGAGCCAGGACTTGAGGAGTTTAGTTAGTGATGTGCAGATACTTACAAGATGGATAAAGGTCATCATAGTTATGTATTTCACCATGGAGTCTCAGTGATTTGATGAAAAAAAACCAACTGAGCAGGTAATAGCCATCAAACCAGCAAGGTTTAGAATAGCCAGTCAGGATACATAAATTTACATAAAGCCTCCACTTACTGATCAGCTGATTGGTTAATAATCAGAGTACAGTAATTTGCTTACATATAGTATTGAGAAATAACCATGCATTAATTATGCAAATCAGGTTTCCCAGCTGATCCAAGTGAAAAAAAATTGCATTACTGAGAAATAAGGGTCAGTATGAGCTGCATCTCTCCACACAGACTGGTTAAGACAATTCCATTTCAGTATAGTGGTTCATAATATGCATTGGGTAGAGCTATTAAATAGCATTATAAGAGAAAAATAATTGTGTGCTGTTCATCTGGGGCTTTCTTATGGAAAGCGATAACATGATGCCATTAGGAAAATCAACAAGACAATAATCTCCATCCATTCACAAGGAGAAGCAGAAGTTTGAACATCTGTTTCCCCCTATTGAATTCATGAAAGGGCTTCTCTGCACATACAAAAAATGGACTAATAAACAACAGTTGGGGAACATTATCTCTAACATTCATCATAACATTGAAATATACCGAATGCAATAAAAGGGAGGTGGGTGTTTAAACAGCTTTCCAAACAAAACACCTCACCAATTAGTAGATCTTTTAAAAGTGTAACATTGAGTTATTAATGTATCTATTTTAAATTAATTATAGAAGAGCATGAAATCTTGTTGGGAAAAGTGTAATTAACGCTCACTGTCAAAGACACAATGCCCACAAGAGATAAAGCTGAAATTATGTCACCTTGGGCAGCAAAATCAAACGGGTTATAACATAAAATGGTGCTAGTAAGTGCAAAAAAAAAAAAAAAAAAATCCTAGCCAGCAATTTTTGGGAAAAAAAAGTTTAAGCTTAAAATATGGGATCCCCCTCCCCCCAACACAGTTTTGGAAGGGGAATAATAATAAAAGGAACTTTGGACCTAAGCGCCAAGTTCCTGCCAAGGGCTTGTAACACAATATCTCAGAGTTTCAAGGGTAATTCAGTGTCAATTGCGCTTGCCGTCCCCCAGAAAAAGTAAGCATTTAACTTCCGTTCGGTCTATGTGGACTGATGAAATGTAGGAAATCTGTTTCTGGAGGGGGAGTGGGGGGGGGGGGGGGGAGGTTTCCCAAAGAGAGCACCAAGTGGAGAGATCAGAAGTATGAAGAGTGGCCGAGCTGCTGGCGGTGTGCTGAGGCTGGGAGAACGGGACGGGCTGCAGGAGGAGAAGGGCTTTGTGGCATTGCAAGAAGAAAGTGAGTGAGATTTCTTCCAAGCAAGCGCCTAAGGAGTGCGGGGTGAGGCATGCTGGCCACTAATAAATGGCTAACGAGGGAAGAGAGCTCTGCTTACTGCTACTGCAGTTCGTGCAGGCGTTTGGCTGGATTTACCAAAGTCAGAGCCCGGGCTCCTTTAAAATGTGTTTGATTTGGTTGTTTGTTTCACGGTTGCAGTTGAACGGAGAGAGAAAGGGGTCGGGGGATTTAAGCAAGACAACGATTATTTCCCTTCAGCCTGTCACCTTAGAGCGGGGTTTCTTTTGTTTTCTTCCTCTAATCTTGAAATTGCAAGAACTCTCACGTCCAAAGAGTTTGCGAGTCAGTGATTAATGGGGATACAGCAGGGATAACTGCTTCGAGCGCTGCAGCAGAGAGGTAGGGAAGGGACGGGGAGAGCTGGGCTAGGAAGTTTGCAAATTGCAATCGGTGCGCTCCTGCACAGGTAAAAATCTTTCGTTTGCCTACTCATTGAGGAAGCAATTCCCATCCGCCCCCCTTGACAATCCGGAGTTTGAAAGTGTCAGGGGGGTAAAGTGTGTGTGTGTGGGGGGGGGGGGGGGGACGTTAATGATTTGAGGATCATTATTTCCAGTTCAGAGCTTGCCAGGGTGCAGCCTCTCCGCGCGACTAACAAGAACGCTTTTGAATGCAAATAAACCTTCCATGAATGTTTGCATTGTCTCTCCTTTAATGAGTCGGACTTGGGAAGCTGTGTTATACACCACCCACGGAAAAGCCATCAGTCCGGGTGTATATGCATGGGCCCCGAAGAGAGCAAAATAATACTAACCACCCAGAATAGTATGGATCAGACGGTGAGATGCTCACTTACTTGGGTTCGGGGTAGGGGTGAGTGTTTGGCAACAAAATATTCAGAATGATCCCAGGAGGAGAATATTTTTTGCCTTAGTTGCATGAAAATCTTGTAAATTTCTAGCGCACCATTCGGGACCCTTCTCTGCTTTGTGTCTGGTCTTACCCCGTTCACCAGCCCTCGAGCACTATGGTTGGAAGAAAAGGGAAAGGTAGGTTGTTTATATATGACAGCACTGTCCAGTGGAAATATATCTCTGCATCAAACGAAGGAGCAAGTGTTTGGTGGGCTGCGGGCAAGCTATAGTGTCATCACTGCCCACAGAGCTGGGCCACTGGAATTAGGGCGATCTTGACACCCCCCAAAGGACTGGCAGGACAGCACTAATTCCAAACTGAGCTCTTTTCCTTTGCCTTCTTTCTCACGCAATAAACACAAGCAGCAGAAGGGAGGGCAGGCTTTGCCTTTTATGCTGGGATCTTCTGGTTCATATTGTTTTTAGAAACGATCCATTCCTGTTCGAGGAATGCTCTCCCCTTTTTGCAGCCATGCTGGGCAGCAGGGCGATCGCCTAACAGCATGGCTTGCTCTGGCTGCACGTGAAAGGTAAAGGGACTGAGAGCATTCTTTGCTAGTATCTGGGGTAAACGCATTGCAGCCTTCCTCTCGGCCAGCCCCGGAGCATGTCTGACATTTCTTTGAAATTGCGGGGGGTGGGGTGGGGAAGGTACTTTTAGTCTCCACGCACATTAAAGCTTGGATTGTTTCTTCGCTGCCGAGCCCAGGCTGTGCCAAGTGTAATGATTTTGTGATGTGGATTATGATTTAATAGGAAATTAGCTGACATTCCTAAATTCATTTCATATGGTACAATCGGCCATCTGATGAGAATTACATTGTGGAACCCAGGTTGGAACCTCAGCCAAATCGTGATGAAGGAGGTGAGGCAGTGAGGAACTAGCATTCCTTCCAGCCACCCAGCTCTTCTTGATTTTCAGTGGGACCTCGGCCCCTGAATCACTTAGGGGCTTTTGAAAAAAAATTACATCTGTTCTCATTATAATTTGATCAGAAAGGAGACAGGCTTAAAATTAGGGGCACCTGTCCTGCTCCCATGTTAGTCATTTTAAGCTTGGCCATTGATTTCATGGGAGCCGGAGCAGGCCTAGCAACATTTAAGAATGAAATGCAAAGTCATAGGAGCTGCTGATTATTGGCAAGAAACCCACATTATTCTGCAAAAAGAACAGGAGTACTTGTGGCACCTTAGAGACTAACAAGTACTCCTGTTCTTTTTGCAGATACGGACTAACACGGCTGCTACTCTGAAACCTGTCATTATTCTGCAGGCATTTTAAAAAAATAATTAAACTCATCAGGCAAAAATTTGCCATCTGTAATACACATTATCACTTCTTTAGCTAATGGAGACTAAAGTTTAGATTTGACCTTTCTGTACAATTTTTTTTAACAATCATTTTGATTAGGCAAGTAGAAAAATGAGGAGTAAGGGCTAGACCCTGCAGTCCTGCAAGTCAACTATCAGGATTTTTGTCTGCCTTAAGAATCAGGATCATTACCTAGAACGTATCATTTTATGGCAAAGTTAATATTGAACATTCCTAAAGCTTTGTTATTATGTGTGAGAGAGAGACAAACAACATTCCTGCTTTCCTTTTGGTCGAACAAACATTTTGCAAGACAGCAACGCTGTCTGAGGTAAAAACAGTATTGGAAATTCCTAGGCTTTCAGTAACCTAGAATTTTTTTTTTTTAAAGTTAATTTGTTGCTGGCTCCAAACCAAGGGTCTTATAAGTTCAAAATATCAATATACAATCCTGTGCTAGGTTCCAGATACACATTTTAAGTACAGTGCACATTTGTATCCTGTATGTTCATAACACAAGGGACAAATGCTTCTTGTGAATCAGAGTTTACTTTATCAGTCTAGATCACATTTTGATGTAAGCCCTTAAAAATTCTAATTGATTAATGAGTTTCAGATGGTGGTTCCCTTCTATTTCCCCCTCCTTTTTAACATCTACAGTATACTCCAAGCTAATCTGGGAGAGCACCAGAAACACTGAGCTAAATTAGTTGTGTATAGTTATAAGGATAATAAAAGAACTAGAAAAATGAATTTCTTACAAAAATATAATCTTGGTTTCTGCATCTGTGCAAATAGGTTTTATCCTATTAATTGTTGTAGTTAGAAAAGACAATTAAAATTAGTGTTATGACCATCTTGGTCCCAGGATATTAGGAGACAAGGTGAGTGAGGTCCCATAAAAGATACTACTTCACCCACCTTGTCTCTCTAATTAAAATTAGAGATCTGTGTACTTAAAATGATGTAAGTAAGAGTAACATATAATATTTTATATAAGGTAAAATTCTTTAAGGGTTCAGTAAGAATAATATATCATGGCAGCAAAATCAGAATTGGATAAGTATAGTCCCTATTATTGCATAAGAGTTAAAGGGTACGATGAGGGCAATTATTGCAGTTCTCTATAGTAAGTCATAGCATCTTAGAAGTCAGAGATGACAAGACCGATAAGTTCATATATAGTCCATCCTTGCCAACAGCTGATTGTTATCTATATTTTATTTAGTGCTATTTTTAGTCCAGTTTTAAGTGTCTCAAGTGATGGACATTCCCCTACTTCATTTGGGAGATTATTCTACTGTCTAGCAGATCTTGTTACTGGGAAGAATTTCCTGACACTAAGGAAAACAATTTCATAAATTGTTGTTCACCTCTGTGGCTATTGGGAAGAGGTTAATCAATGTATATATTAGGAACAAAACAAAAGATTATTTCAAATGCAGCATTTAGTCTGTAGACTAATCTCATACATATTCTGAGTCTGCAGGACCATAAGCACCGGGCAAAGGACAATTTGTAGTTTTGTTTTTAATAACATTAGTAAGATCAAATTTTCAAATGTGGGTGTTTAGATTGCACCTGCATATTTTATGCTCAAAATCATTGTGTATGCAAAACCTGTATTTGTTCTCCTGAAAGCAATGATTGCATGCAAGGGACCCTGTTTGTTTGCAGGTTCATGTTTGCTTAAACAAATGCACAAACAGACTTTGTGTTTGCAATTTATGGTGCCCTAATGATAAAAATTTGATCTATTAAAGTCTCTATTTTTTAATATCCTCTTTTGCTAACCCCCCAAATATATAGTTATTTGCATATGCTTACTTCAAAATGAGTCAACCAATGCACCAAACAACACTCTGAAATTCTGCTGAAGGGCCAGAATTTTGTTCTTTTCCATATCCTTCTTGATGTGATTAGAACTAGCAGGGAGATCCAGCAGAGACCCATGCCAGATACTCATGAGCTCTGCTTTGGCTTTTGATCCTCAATTCTTCTCCCTTTCCAAAATGACTGCTATCCAATACCATTACCTTCTCTCCAAGTTAGCAAGAAATTGAGAGAGGGACATCAGCTGCAACTGCAGACAAAGGCAGTGTACACCGCTTCTGTGTAGCATTATAGATTGCAGTCCCTGTGGTGAAAGCACTGGCTACTCACTTCCAAGATGTTTTCCCACTGGTACCAGTGACTGTGAAGCTACTGCAGAGTTGCGTATCATGTGAACCTTTTACTTTATGGTATACTTTGCTTCTTCTGCAGCTAGCAGGCTTTCCCAACTCTCATCTCACACAGGAGGGAATTTAGCATAAGCCCTGAATATTTGAGTTCTATGCAGATGGAATGAAATTCACTCCTCTAATCCAGGTGCCAGTTGTGAAGAACATGGGGGCCACTGGATCAGCATAAATGCAGATCTGCAGTTCCTTCAATAGTCCTAGATAACACCATCTCACTTGCAAATTGACTTTCGGCATTGGTCCCTCATAGGCTGAGTCAATGATAGTAAGGGGGAGTTTAAGTACATTAGGAACAAAAAGAATCCTAACAATAGTATTGTTCCATTTCTAGATAGAAATGGTAGGAATTATCAATAATAAGCAGAAAAGGCAGAAGTGTTCAATAAATATTTCTGTTCTGTATTTTGGAAAAGCAGATGATGTAGTCATATCATATGGTAACACTCTTTCAATTCTGCTAATGTCTCAGGAGGATGTTAAACAGCAACTACTAAAGTTGGACATGTTAAATCAGCAGGTCCAGATAACTTGAATCCATGAGTGTTAAAAGAGCTGGCTGAGGAGCTCACTGGACCATTAATGTTGCTTTTCAATAAGGCTTGGAACATTGAGGAAGTTCCAGAAGATTGGAAGAAAGCTAATGTTTTTAAAAGATAAACTGGATGACCTGGTAATTATAGGCTTGTCAGACAGAGATTGATCCTGAGCAAGATAATGGAGTGACTGATATGGAATTCTAATAAAGAATAAAAGGAGGGTAGTATAATTAATGCCAATCAACATGGGTTTATGCAAAAGTGATCCTGTGAAACTAACTTGATATCTCTTTTTTGATGAGATTAGAAGTTTGGTTGATAAAGGCAATAGTGTGGATACTTAGACTTCTGTAAGGTGTTTGACTTGGTACTGCACAACATTTTGATTAAAAAACTAGAACAATATTAAAATTACAATGGTTGACATTAAATGGATTAAAAGCTTGCTAACTGTGATAGGACTCAAAATGTAATAGTAAATGAGGAATCATTGAGTGGAAATGTTTCTAGTGGAATCCCGCAGGGATCAGTTCTTGGCCCTATGCTATTTAACATTTTTATCAATGACTGTAAGAAAACACAAAATCATCACTGATACAGTTTGCAGATAACCCAAAAATTGGAGGAGTGGTAAATAATTAAGAGAACAGTGCAATCTGGATTACTTGATAAACTGGATGCAAGCAAACAATATGCATTTTAATATGACTAAATGTAACTGTATAAATCTAGGAACACAGAATGTAGGTCATACTTACAGGATGGGGACTCTATTCTGGGAAGCAGTGACTATGTAAGAGTTGGGGTGGGGAGGGGAACGGTGGATAAACATCT